AAAACAAAGTCCCCAGCAGAGTCGCCAAGCTGTCGAAACGATATTTTCTTAAATGTGAGAAAGTGAGATTTAAAAAACCACATTAATTTTATTTACCTCTTTCAATTGATTTTTAATTTAAAAACAAATGGGATTTAAAAGACCTCTCGTTTCGAAATTTTTTTGGATTTCCTTTACGATTGAAAAAAAAATATGATTCAAAGAGTCGCCACCAATATTTGATTAGGGTGTGATTGGGCACCCAAAACTGTTTGTTATTTTAAATAAAAATTAATTTTAATTAAAACACCAAATTAAGGTCTGCGTTACCAAAATCCGAGTTCGTGAGTCGGTTACGTACGAGGAACGATTAGCACCCCCACAACGCCCTAAAATGATACCTAATCAATTAATTAATGTCTTTGCATTGAACTTGAAAAATTTGAACTTAATTTGGTTTATGATCCCATAAAACAAAGATGTGAATTCAATAATATTCAAAAGCACTCAAATAAATTAAATTAAAATTAGCAAGTCGTTTTAGAAAGATAAAGAATGTTCGATTATTTACAAATATCGAGACCGTATCTTAAAAGCTATAACAACCTTTTCTCGATAAATTTAAATAGCCGAACATTTCTTTTTCTTCCATTCCCAAATTTTAAAGTAATGGATTAATTTTTAGGTGTCACTAATGGGATACACTTTCATTTTAAAATCATTAAAAGCGGACCTCAAATGCGTTATGACAACCCACTTAAAACAATTTTAAATTAAAAGTGTATTACCCTTAATCTAATTATGTAATATGTCGAGTTATGCACATGAGGATATCATACAAATTGTGCAAAAAAGGATGTCATGCCAAAATTAATTAAACAAAATTAAAAATATCATACAACGTGACATACACAAAATTATATACATGTATTTTAACTAAAAATCATTAACCATGCATATTAACATATAATGTACAAATGTGAATAAAAAATAAAAAATAAAAACATGATATGCTAAACTACAAAATTAAAAAAAAGTATGTACTTACATATAAAAAATGACCCAATTTAAATGTACGTAAAAGTAAACATATAAAATTGGAAATAAACTAGCGACTTAAACAAAAGTGCACATGAATCTAGAGGGTCTTATATACAATTTATCCTATTCGATTTAAATTAAGATAATATGCAAAATAACATAAATAGTACATGCACATTTGAAATGAAACAAGAAAATTAATATAAGAAAATGACTGCTTTGCAAAAGAGAGCATGAAATGTGAGGGCCTAAATTCTAATTTACCCAAAACTATTAATATATGTAACCTAAGTAAACTACTAAACTAGCCTAATCTTCAAGCAGAGCCGGCCGAGCTCTTCACTTTCCATTCTTATCTCCTCACGAATGACGCTCTCTCCATTGCTCAGGTAATGAATCAAACCCCTCCTACTTTCAATTTCTCTTTTGTTACAATGAAACATGACAATGATTTCTAAATGATGAAATGCTTTTTGAATTTTTGTTTTATACTCGCTTCGCTTACTCAAAAATGGATAACCAATTGTTACATTCCCTCCTCGGTCTTAGACTCTAAAAAAAATAAGACTTCTGAACCTAAACTGAATCCCTACCACGACCACCTAACCTCAACGGCACGACCGAAAGCTCTGGGGAACCTCTCCTAACGGCGATGGCTATTCTTTTCAAAAGTAAACAACCACTCATCTTCTATTTTATTTTACTGTTCATTGTTCTAATTTTAGACCTAGTTGATTTCATAACACTAACCCCAGTCCCTATTTCCATTAATTGAACCCCAAACGACTAGAATAGAACAACCAAGACTCTATCGTCATCCACAACTAAGGTAATTTTCTAATTCCTTTCTCTGTTATTTTTTTATGCTTTGAAAGAAAAAAAACAACAAGCCACATATAAAATTGCTATGTATTTCAGAAAATAAAGAAAGTAACCTGCTTTTGAATTGCTTATATTGCTTTCGAAAGAGATAGGGAAGACCCCTGTTACACTGCTTGATCTTTGAAAATGGAAATGTTGTTTACACTGTTTATTTCCTCTTGTTCCGCTGTGTAAAAAAACAAAACTAAAAGTCTCTCTCTGGCTTTTTCTATTGTTAATATATCTCTATTGTTTCCTCTTTTTTTTCTCTCCCTTCTTCGTAACCCCCTTTTCATGTGTTAAAAACCTCCGTTATTAGTGGTTTCCAGTAGTTAAAATCCCCCTAAAAAAATTGCCCCCTTTTTCTGTGTTTCCCCTGATAGATTAAGAAAACTGAAACCCCTATTTTGTTAACTCCCAATAACTACTTTTAGTTTTTCATAGAGTATTCACGTGGGCTAGAAGCTGGATCGCCGAATTGGGCCTCTAACTGCTCTGCTTCGAGTCTGCTCTGACTTAGCCCCAGATAAATCGAGTATCTACAATAGGTAGTATGTTGAGAGGAACTCATGATTATGGAGAAGGGTGACTAAAACCCTTATTGATCGGATTAATAAAAGATTTAAGTTTGCTCTTGATTTGAATAATTTAATTACATCAAATAATAAACTTGTGTAAAGAACACTTAAAGTCGTTTGTAATTTTAAAATATATAAATTAGTCCCTATAAATGAAAATTACAAAATAAAAAGTCTTAAAATATAAATTTTCAAATATTTATAAAATTATAAGAAATTCAAAATATATACGAAATTCTAAAAAAATAGATTAAATCATAAAAAAAGTAAAAAAGATAAATTTGATACCTTGAATAAATTGTTAAATATAAAAATATTGTACCTTTCTCTTATTGTGTTTTAAAAGAGTTCTAATATATATGTTTTTGAATTAATGTATTTTCACTTTAAATTTAATTATAGTATTAATAAGATTAATTTAATATATTCTTAAAATATAATTTGAACAAGTTTATCCAATTCAATTTAAAGTAGTTTAAATTAAATTAGAATGATAAAATATATCAACTCAATTAACTCTAAAATTTTCACCTATAATACTCACCCCTAATTGTGAATACAGTAAGGGAGAATCATTATTGAGTCCATTAGATTTAAATAGAGATAAAAATTTAGTACATATACTTTAATATTTTATCTAATGCGATACATATATTTTAGGCTTAATATAAAAATAAGTGTCCAATTATGTCTCGAAAAATATTTTAGTGCCTAAAGAATTTTTTGCTAAAAATAGATATCTAATGTTTTAAACGTTATATTTTAAGGTGTCCGGACGTTAACTGCCGTTAAATATCTCTGTTAAGTGACATGTGTCACATTATGATAATTTTGATTATTTTTTTTGTAAAAAAAGAAAAGAAAAATACCCCCAAACCCTTGGTGCTCCCCCTTCCCCTTACCCCTTCCCCTGCAATAGGTCACCAGTCGACTGTTCGACGGTGATCGTCACTGCAACCACCATCGACACCGATGTTGATCCCCGATCAAACCCTCGACCTTTCATTGTAACATGCCACCGTTTGTCGTAGAGAAACATTCAAAGGTTCGTTGTTTTTAAGCCATCGTTGTCATTTTTCCTCGATTCCAGCTGGCTATGACGTTCATAAGCCACACCGCTGCCATCATTTGAACCATCGTGCTATTCCGATCAAAACCCAACCGTTCGATGATGACGACGATGGCTGGCGACCGTTTGGGTTAGGAAACTGAAATTGGGAATTAGGGATTGGATTTTGGGGGGTTTTAGATTTAGGGATTTTTTGTCACGGCAAGGACGACGATTGATCAATAGGTGTGTGGCGACGGGTGGGTCATCGTTTGACGATAACGATGGTGGCCGAAGATCGCCGACGACGGTTGGTAATGGGGTTGAAATGAGAGATTTTAGTTTATAGTGGGTTTTTTTTTTATATAATTTTAGTAAAAAAATGGATTTTTTTTTGTAAATAAATTAATTTTATTTCTTTTTTAATTAAAAATAATATTGTTTTTATTAAAAAATTAAAAAAATAGACGGTGGGTACCTAAAAGTAAAAATGAGAAAACGTTAAACACCCATTTTAAGCGAAAAAAATTTTAGACACTAAAACGTTTTTCTAGATATAGTTTGGATATTTATTTTTATATTAAACCTAAATTTTAATAAAATACTAGAATTAGAATTAAAAGAAGATTATTGTTTAATTGATGTAGCATTAGAATTAATTACACTAGTTATTGATTAGCTCACTTTTGTTGAGGTGTTGATTAGCTCCTTAAACAATAAAAATAAAATATCATTTTAAAGCGAAAGACGACTAATGTCCATTCTTCAAGGGTGTAGGGTTTGGGCATTTCAAATCACTCGTAACAAGTCAGGAGATAATGCCATTGCTTAGCTTGGGGCATTTTAAATTTCATGTTTTATCGTTAAAATGTTTAATACTTACGGGTGGATCCTCAATTTTAGACTTGAAAGGGCAAATAGATCTCACATTTATCATGTGGGTTTCTCTTTCCTCCTAATTGTTCTCGAAGGAATGGATGGATCCGCGATAATATCATCCAGGAAGATAGTGATGTGGTTAAAAAGGCTAAGGAGCTTTCGGTTGACTTCACTTTGACCAATGGAGGAGGAAGCTCCCAGGATAATCGCTCCCATGCTTCTAAAACGTATAGGTAGAGTAAACCAACAGCTGGAAGTGTCGAAAACAACGTCGATAATACATTTTTTCAGAACTTTGACGACGCAACAGAGGAAATAATTGCCCGAAGTCATAACGGAATGGTGGTTAAAGGATGTGCGCGTAGCACCAATTCAGCAAAACCAGTGGAGGTGATGACATTCACCTATGGTATTCGAATGGCCATTGAGACTGATTGAGACAAGGTGATCATTGAAGGTGATGCTATCTCCATTGTCAATGTGCTAACTAACCGGCAAGAAGATTTGTCTGTGATAGAATTGTTGCTCAACGAAGCTCATAAAGTTCTTGTTAAGCACTCTTCTTTTAAAGTTTATGTTAATAGAATGGCAAATAGAGTTGTTCGTTCTCTTACTTATTGGGTATTGTTGAGACCCAATCTTATTGGGTCATTGTTTAGAGCTCTCTTGACTTCCAGTAGCTTTTTCTCTGTCTGTTTGGAGTGGATTACTCGTTTGCCTGCGTTAACAACCGATCGATCACAAAGCAAATTATCAGAATTTATCGTGTGGAGGAAACAGTAACAAGAATAGCAACACATGCCTAGCCTACGGTTGCCTTTAGCTTCGAAAAAACCATTGCGCGTCATCTTAGTTATAATCTTTCGAACAACATTCTGATTTACTTGTCCGTCCAGCTTCTTATGAAGCTTTGCAGCTGACACATGTCATTGGAAGAGCATGGTACAAAGCCTAAAGTTACAATAATGAAGTCAGAATTTGCAAACTGAAAAGACTAATTAGGCAACCCTAGCAATATGTAAGAAATATTCCTTATGACCTCATTATTGAAAGAACCAGAAAACAGCAGAATCTTTTTCATTTAAAATTTGCAAAAACTTGAAAAGCCTCGTGCAAGTTAGATGTGAAAAAAAAAACTCATAAATATACAGAGATGAAAGGCAAAGCAAGCAAAGCAATAGAATATGTTTTACATGGAACTGAACATACAATATTCCTGTTGATAATTCCAAAAATGGAAATAGAATAGAACTTGAATACCTTCATATACAAGTGATCTTCAACCTTTGGAGACTTCTGAACAATGTGGACTTGTCCATCCATTTCTTCTTTAACCGGAAATTCACACTCGGATTTCTGGTAGGGGTATTATTTTTCACGATATCAAGGAATGTGATCTAAAGCAGGTAATGAGCATACAAATTTTAAATTTAGAAGAAATAACCTTCTGCTTGTTTATGGTGTAACTGTCTTTTCCACTGCTAGACAAAACACCTTGCTTTATGAGTTTGTTCATTATTTCTGAAATCGATCCAAAGATATTAAAGGAGTAACAGGTAAAGTTAGAAATATTATTATTATAGAAGTTTGAAAGGAGTTCAAAATCAGGACTGTAGAGTACTCCCTTTATGTTTAAACTTCAATTTCCACCAAATATTTTCATTACCTTCTGTCAAAACCTATATTTGTGCGAAATAGTAAGATTAAAATCAGAATTATTATGACAACAAAATGAAACTTCAGGATCTGGAAAGCAAACCACTCTCAACTAATTTCTAGCCCCCTATTGATTAAAAATAAATTAGGAAAACAATGTAGCGCTTTTACCACTGAGATCTCGGGGAAATTGGAGAGCACATCAGTAACTCCAACAGTGTCAAGATGAAGATTATTGATCCAATTCTTCACCCTTTCCAATTGTTGTTCATCTTCCATGGGGTCTTGAGTATCATCTGTACAGCAGGTAACAGATTAGAAGTAACGTGATCCAGGAAAAAGATCTCATAGAGAAAGAGGTAAAATAGTAGAATTAGAAAGGGAAAAAAAAACAATTAATGCCATTTTTCTGTTCTGATAACCTTAAAATGTTACCTTCATCCACCACGCTATTTTCTTCGTCTGGTCGATGCTTATATGGAAGAACAACCATTCTTGTTATTTGCAGTAAGATTTTCCCAACAAAAGCTTATAAAAACAGGATGGAAGGGGCAAATAAGTTCTTGTGAAACCATTTAATTACCTACTGGTGCCACAACAAATTCTTCATCTCGTGATTCACTAACCTGTAACCAGTAGTAAAAAAACGAAGACGCCAACTTGAATTATTTGGATAATGGGGTATCATTTGGTGTTATATAGCAGGAGCAAGCGTTAAAGGGAAAGGGTACATAGACTGAACAAAGGATGGTCTTTTTACCTCACTATCAGAATCAGAAGATTCATCTCTTTGAACAGAGTCGGCATCGAGGTTTACTTCTTCATCTTGAATGTCATCATTTTCATCCCCGCAGGGATCAAGTACACTTTTCACCTGTACAAAATTCCAGTAACAAAAACTTTGATAAATATGAGCCACAAATCTGATCGCAGCAGACAAAAAGCCTACAAAACATTACCTTGAGAGCTAACATAAAGTGATTGCTGTTGACATCTCCAACTTCCATCCTTAAAGGATTTTTGGTCCATGAATTATGAGCTTCCTCTTCCGTAGAGCCTCTAAAGAAGGGAGGCTCATAGTCCACTGGCTGTGCGTGGTTGAAATTAATGCGTTACAATAAAATACCATATTTGTTAAGGTTGAATCTAAAAAAAATCGCCAAAAAGGTTGAGTGAAAACAGGAAAATCGCAACACAGGCAAACAAGTAACAAACTGCTTGGGTTCAATATCCAGAGAAGCAAACACATGCTCAACAAACAAATACCAAATCCTCAATCATGGACAATAAGAATTTCACAATTAATTTCCCATATTTTATTAAACAATAGGGAATATTTAAATTAAATTACTCCCAAACTTAGGGTAGAGGAGAAGGCAAACCGTCACATCGTCATAGTAGAGAAGTTTCATCAATATAGTACGCTGAAACAGAAAATAAAACAAATGTTACAACTAACCATACCTTTGTACTTGAATGTAAAACAAATATTAGAAGGCTTAGTTGCTAAGATTTTACCTCTTCTGGCATCTTATCCAGAGTTCTCATCAGTTGAACCAGAGTACGGACCATTTTACAAGCAGAACTTCTGAAATTTTACATTGTCACAGAATTTTAGCATAAAAATGCCGGCTCTAAACAAAAGGGACAGAAAATTATCTTGGTTTGAATGAATCGAATTTAGATCACCTCATTTGATTGGGAGTAACTTCAGAGGTGGAGTTAGAGTTGAATGCTTTGCCTTGCTTCTTGTTTCCAGTACGATTAATATTCATAGAAACCTCTTGGGAATCAGAATTGGAATAACTAAAAGAGACTGCAAAGAGAAGGGATATTCAATTTATAAAATCAAGAATCAAATCACTAAAGCTTTGAATATGAATACAAAAACGGTGACTCGGAAAACTATACATGAGTATTCCTCAATCATCGGTCCATCCACCGATTTGCATATGCAGAACAACAGTGTTTTTAGGTACTTTTTCTGTAATGCATCATACACACCTGGGAAGAAGCAACAAATTATCAAATAATCAGAGCCAACGGTTAAGAACAAATGAAAACAACTTGCCTTTCTCCATCCAGTCAATCAGTCTACGAGACGTTGCATCCAATGGCAATAGCTTCTTGATCTTCATCTCTATTTATAGTTGTCACAATTTTCAAAGAAATCGGTCAAACAGATTTTGGAAGAAGATATTTGAGAAAGTCCTGGAGGAAGAAGAAGCTAACCTAAAGCAGGAACGGATTTATCGTTGAAATAATTTTCTGGAAATAGACCTCTGATATAGCTAATATTGAAAATAGCAATACGAAGCAAGTTCCTCGTCTGTTCGGAGAAAAAACAATAAAAAAAGATGAGATCAACTTAAAAATCTTTAACCAACGCTTCTAGCTCTAATTACTTGACAATAAAGGTAAAAAACTGTGATCCGTTTAGCAGCAAAATTCACGAGAGAAAAAAAATACAGAGCAGATTCTCTGGCGAAGTGGCGACGAAATATAGGAAATCAATACTTATAAAACATTAACAGCAGGCTTTAATATGCAGCTCGAGTCATAAATTACTGAAAATTTGAATTAGAATGGCCATGCATTGTCTTCTACGAACAAAATTTTAATCGAAGCTCCAAATCAAAATCAAAATGTCCACATCTGAAGTGTATTCGGTGCATATAAAGCTTTTAGGAATCCAAGTTCCTTATAGGTTAAATCTCAAAGAAAAACAACGAGCAAGGAGATTTTGGTCTCTGCGTATACCATACTTGAGATTTATCAACGCACTGAAAATTTGAAGATGAAAAGCAGGAACTATAACCAGAACAAACAAGCATAAACAAAGCAAAGGATAGCCGGGAATGGAACCTGCGCAACAACCGGACACGATAAATCAGTAAAAATTAAAACGAGAATGGAGCAGAGAGAATATGAAGAAAACGTGAAATCATGAAGATTGACCGGAAATGAATTGATCCAAAGCAATTTCAGAGCTCACCATTGCTGGAGAATTTTTTAGAAGACTGAGAATTCAAATGGCAGAAAGAGAAAATTGTAGAGAAAAAACCAGAGTGTTTGGCTTGGAATTTTGTATCACCGTAAGTGATGGCGGGAGTGAAATGAGCTTGGAGAATTGGGGAGTCCCAATTTATAGAATGTCGGACTCGGTGTATGGAATTTAACCACGGTTAAATTATACATGCAAACGTTGTGTTGAAGTGTGGCGAGGGATAAAATTGTTATTTTACATGAAAACATGCCGCGTTTTGATCATCACAAGATATGTAATGTCAGTGGGATGGATTTTGTTTTGTGTGACAGCCACATTTCGTATCTAATTAGATTGATTTTGTAAGTGACGGTATGAGGATGAAGATAAAAGTTAAATCGTTAAACATTTGATTAAATTAAAAACTTTAACAAGATTAATTTGATTTGATGAGTTATTTGGTTAATACTATGAAATTGATGTTATAACTGAAAAACGTTTCAGATTCTTTATGGATTTTTTATATTATATAATTTTGATATTTTTCATCAATTTTATAAATATTAAGAAAACCTTTTTTCCCCCAATTATTTTCAATGAATTCTTAGAGAAACTATGTTAATTTTCGAAATCAATAGACTCGTTGCATTTCCACCGATTTGTCAAAATCATATTGAGTTTGAGATATTTGAATTGTAAAAATTTACTTTAATTTGGATTTAAAAAAAAACTAATAATTTATTCATATCTATTTGAAAAATTAAATAACTTTGCCTTTCTGAAAAATTGCATGCCTATTTCCTAGTTACTGCAACGCACCACTTTGATCAACCAAGTGTTCATTGGAACATAATTTAAGTAAATAATTTTTAATATATATAAAATAAGAATTTCAGTAAGTGTATATATACAAAGTAATAGCGTACATATAGTTTTACTATACATCTGATATATCCAAGAAGAATATAAAATATTTAAAGAAATAAGATAATAAAATAGTAAGGGAGGCGAAGGAACTATTGAAGAACGACGCATGCTTAAACTGCCTGATCAACAAGGCAATGCCAAATATTGAAGCACCGATTGCTTATTATCGCTGTATCTGTTAAATGACTAAATCCATAACAATGTCCAACCAAGATGGTCACCCTAATCAGATTATAATAACAGGGGAAAACAAAATGTGGGAACAATCCACTTGCCCCAATTTACTACATCTCACTAGCTCAATCTTTAACCTTCTAACAAAATATAACCAGAGTGGTTACCTTGAAGCAAACGCCTTTATCGTGAAGGAGGTGGCGGAACGTGGGATTTCGCCATTCCCACCCATGCAACGATTCCAACAGCAAGTATTACCCATCCAAATATGTCGTACTTCAAATCACTGCTCTTCTTCTTCTTGGCAGCCTGCAAATATACAGATAAATCAGAAAAAATCTTCTATGACCTTAGAGCAAAGTGATGGACGCTGTTTATTAAAGTTTCTTCGGGCTCTGAAGTCCAAACTACAAGAATGAAGAACCAATGCACAAATATTTTATTCTGTTCATTAATTGAAAAACAGTTACCAAAAAAATAACAGCGATTATGTATTTGCGGTTAACAAGCCAATCAATCTTTCGAACTTGTCTGAAAAAAACTAGGAGTGATAAGAACACTTTCTTTCCTTATCAATTACAGCTCCTTGAGCTAGAATTCATACCTATCAAGCAGGACTATTTTATTACCTATACCTCACAAAAACATTGAGGGTTCGGTCATGGCTCATGGATCAGTCAGAAATGCAGAACATGTACAATTTCTAAACGATTTAGATGCCGATGTGGAAATATTTATTTGAGTCCATCCATGGTAGGTGAACGGGGTTAATGATTTGAAACCGACAATAGCAGAATCAAGGCTTACATATAATTATATGAATTAATCATTCACATCTAATAATACATAATGAACTTAAGCATACAACATAGTAACTGCTAATTTAGATGGTGCGGTAAGAAAGGATAATGCAAGCAAGCACTTCCACGGCTAAGATAAGTATTGGAACCACAATAGAAGGTTTGGAAGTCAACGAAGAACATGATTAAAAAGAAACTCACAGTTGAAGTTGAAGAAGCCGAAGATGCCCCACCCATAGTCTGTTGGCTACCTGCAGCCTTTTGGAAATCCATATGTAGCTCCGGAGCCTAAGAAGACAAACAAATTCCAAGCTTTATTAGAAAGTTTAGAGGATATAAAAGATATCACCCTTATTAAAACCTAGGCAATTCAGCAGGATACCCACTCCTCAGCCCACACTCCTTTAGATACTCTTTCTTCTCTTTCCCAAGAAAATAAAAATATCTATTTGAAACAAAAGGAGAACAAAGAAACTCAAAACTAGCTTCGCCTAGGTAAAACAAAAGGAAAACATCGATCCCACTAACCTGCTATAGTAATCAAATATCTGATTATATAATTAAGCTCAAGCCATAACTTTATCATTGATGAAGTTCATTTCAAATAATTATCAAATCAAACAATGCAGCTAAAATGCTAAAAACATCAATATTAGTTAAATATATATGAAACTGTGAGGTTTCATTCACATAAAAGCCTAAACCATTTAGTTGTATAACAAAGAAAAGCAAGTTTACCTTAGCTGCAACTTCCAAAGACTTCTGATAAAGCTCATTGCCCGGATCCTACAACCCCATAAAATCCCCCAAATTAGCTTACAAAAACCCTCAGATTTGGGGTTTTCAAAACGCTAAAGAGGCATTCATGTAAAGTCCCTCCGATACTTTTCGAAGCAATAACAAAAAAAAAACGAAAGAGGAAAACAAAGAAGTTACCGCATCAACTGCTTTTTGGAAAAACTGAGCTGCCTTATCAAAAGAAACTTTTGCCTCATCAGAATCGGTAGTCATGAATGCAGTAGTGGAGAGCGCGTTTCCCATGCACCATAAGGTTTCGTGCTTGGATGGATTTATCCCCAACGCCTCATCCAACTTCGAAATTGCATCTAAAATGATCAATATTAATAGCATTGGCAAAAATAATACTAAAAGGGGAGAAATATAACATAGGAAAAAATTCAAGAGAAAGATAGAATACCATTTATCATTTTCTTTGCATCTGCAACAGTCTGAAACTGAGCTAATTCAAGTAAAGCCCCTCCCCATTTGGTTAAATTCTGCAACCAAATTTTAACATATCACAAAGAAATTCAAAGCAATTTTTTTTTGATAAAAAAGACACAAATCTGATCCCATAGAACATTGCGAATAAAAGAACCAATACTCCATTGCCATCGAGATTGATTTACAAAGGAGAGCTATTGCAAACAAAGAAACGAAAAAATTTGTTTTTTTAAAGAAAAGGAAAAGAAACAAGCAATGAAAAAGGAAGGAACCTCGGCGTCAAGAGGGTCCTTGCCGTAGGTGACTTCAGCGGTTGTTCGAGTGTGTTCAGCGACTAACAGGCGATCGAAATCATCTTGAGAAAACTCCATTTCCGTGGTTGTTTTCTTCTTTTAGTTTCAAAAACCGATGAGCGTGGCCGCTAGGGTTTTATGTATGATATTCGAGAAGTGTGAAGAGCTCATATGATATTACTTATGAGCAATGCGAAGTCGGACAACGAGACCGTGTTGGCCTCCAATACTTGCGCTCCTTTTGCCTTACTTTTCCACCCTATTATGTTTTACTACTTCCACGTCGCGGACTGCGAAAGTCTCCCTTTCAGCCTTATTTGTATTTCTTTTTAAAGAATTTGTTTTACCTTTTAACTTAAAATGATAAATTTAAGAACCAAGTTATCATTGATGATACATTATGAGATAATTATAAATAAACATATATTTAAAAATTAATTATTGATATGTAAGGATTAGGGATAAAAGCAAGGGTAAACTACATAAATAACCACCTAATTATGGAGTTTGATCTCGAAATGATCATTATTTTTAATTTTGTGTCAATATGACCACTGAACTATTTAAATAGTTTCAATATATCCACCTGCCATTAACATTTAACAGAAGTGTTTACGTGGCAGTTAATAAAATTGGTATAATTAGGGCGCGAGTCCTTGTAAAGTTATATATTCGCGACGTTGGCACCTTTCTTTGTCGTCCACTTTGGTCACTACTTGTATATTATTTGTTTCCTTCGATTTTCATTTAATGTAATTTGATTATGATTCTGTTTTTAATTTTTCTAATGCCTTAATTTAAACATTAACTTTAAAATCTTTTTTCATAGTCATGTATTAAATTTATATATTAAATCTCTTAGATTTTAGAATTAATCGTTGAGTCATTTCTCACACTTGTTACCAATATAATATATACATTATATAAATTGTTTAAGTTTATAAAACTTGTTCAGGTTTAGACAGAAAGATAAAACAAAAATAACTTAATTGCATTTGAAGTCAAGATTAGTTTATAACCAAGCAAAGCCTTAACCGATAGGCTAAATCTAATATTTATGAATCAATTAAAATATTTTTCTATATATTATATATTATAGTTAATTGTAGAAGTAAAAATAGACATGTGTACTTAAATCTAGGAAATTTTGATAATATGATAAACACTTAAATTGCTAAAAAAATAATATATTATTAATAATTAATTTAAGATTTTAATATTTTCAAATTAAATTTATTTATTAATGATTATATATATTAAATTATATTTAAAATTAAATTGAAAAATATAACATACCTTAACTCACGAGCACAATTTAAAATCAAAAGATAAAATTATAATTTGAATCTTAAATATTTTTTCTTATGATTATAATTTAAATATATTAAACTATTTTTTATGATTTCATATATATGTATATATATATATAATTAAAAAATAAATATGAAAACAATAAATTTAGTTTAAAATATTAAAATCTTAAATCAATTATAAATCAACTATTAGATTTATTTTAGTGATTTAAGTATCATCATATTCTCAATTGACCTAGATGTAAGTTTTCACTTATCTGTTTTTTATCAATATATATATATATATATAATACTAAAATGATTCCTAAATATTATATTTAGCTTATTGGTTAAGGCTTGCTTGGTTACTATAATTCATTTTGGGTTCAAATCCAGCTAAATTATTTAAAAAAAATGCCTAAACTTGAACATGTTATATAACATATGTATTATCACAATAACAAGTGTTGGAATTAGCTTAGTGGTTAAGACATGTGCAAGTAACCCTTGGGTATCAAAACTCATCTTCATTTATTTTAACTTTCAATTCAAAATGTGTCATGTGTCTCATTCTGATTGTATTGAATATTTATTAAATTAAAATTAAAAAAAACTCTAATCAGATTGTAACATGCGTCACAATTTGATTGGATAAATAAATTTATAGAATTAAATTGAAATTAGGACATAAATAAAAAATTATGAATTAAAGTTAATATTGGTGATCAAATTAATTAATTATAAAATCTAGGGGATTTAAACTATAAATTTAGTACATGACTAGAATAAAATATTTTAAAGTTAATACTCAAATTAAAGCATTAGACAAAAATAAGGATCAAATTGCATTAAAAGAAAATCCAATGAAACAAACCATATACAAATAATGACCATAATTGAAGAAAACAAAGAGGGTTCCAGCGCCGTGAATAAGCAACTTGACAAGGATCCGCGCCCTAACTATAACAATTTTGTTAACTGTCATGTAAACACTTTTGTTAAATGTTAACGAAATGTTGATATATTGAAATCATTTAAATAGTTCAGTGATCATATTGACACAAATTTAAAAATTGTGGTCATTAAGATATCAAGCCCATAGTTGGGTGGTCATTTATATAGTTTACCCTAAAAACAAACATATTAGATGGATTTTTTAATAGTTTAAGGTGAATATAATATATTATCTGTTTATAAGTTTTTTTAACCTATTGAACTTAAAACTTCTAAGGAAAATAAATGTTCGTTTGGTTTTAGAAAATATAGGCTATTTTCCTTTTCATTTTATTGGAAAATAGAAAACGTTAACGAAAACGTGTTTGATTGTAAAATTAGAAAATGATTTCTAAAAAATAAAAACAAAAAATAAGTGGAAATATGAAAACATATATTTTCAGTATTTTCATTAAAATTGTTTTAAATTCTTGAAAATAAGGAAACATGATAGTTTAAATCATTATAACAATAATTTTTTAATTTAACGATATTTGAAACCCTCAAACTTTTATAGAAAAATAATATGATCCTTAAACTTTTTTTACACTCAATGTAGTCCTTAAATTTTTTTTTAATAATTTAAATTTGTAGTATTTATATATTTAATGTATTGAATATCTTAATAATTGTTTATATTTTATACTTTTATTCTAAATAATTTGTATTTTTTAAATTAAATAAGTCCTCGAACTTTTTAATAATCAATTAAGTTCATCTATCATATCATCGTCCATCGAGTACTACCACAACAATATCGTGAAATGTTACATCAAAATTGTAGATTGACATGTAAGTGGATAAATTATCATGTAAGTGTTGTAACTGTAAACGTTTGATTCCTCTATTTAAAAGGTTAGGTTATTTTTTTTAAGTTTAAAGATCATATTTGGTGCAAAAAAATTCAGGGATTACACTAATCATTTTTTCTCAAAAGTTTGAGCGTCTCAATTACCGCTAAACATATTTTTTATGTTAATGACACTTTTTTGTGCTATTGTTTATAACAAAATTTTATGTATCTTTCTAAATTTAATTGATGTCCAATATTCATTAACATTATATTTTTTATTATAAACTAAAATAAATTTTATGTTATGAATTTTTTTTATCAATTTTTTTGTTTTATATTTACATAATTCACATGTTAAATTTATGTAATAAATTTTATAAATAATAATTGTTTAATTTAATTATTTAATAGCTACTTGTTTATTTTTATTTTAAATAATCTAGTTTAGATGTTATACTAATTTCATGTTACTTTTATAGTATAACAATGTTTTTACAATAAACTTGTTGCTTTATGATAGAATTCACTTATCTAACTATTTTTTCATTGATTGGACCCCATCATATTGATAATATCATAAAAACGATTAAATTGATGAAAATTTTAATATGAATAATTAAATTTATTGAATTACTTTGAATCATGATGAAATTAATAGAATGTACAAGTTCTTAAGGGTGTTTAAATGGTTAATTCGGCCACCAATCGACCAAATTTTCATTAATTGAATTAACTTTTTTTTTTGTTTAGACGTTAACCGAAGCCGAACTTATTTTTGAAAATATTAATCGGACCGAATAAAGTTCATCTATTTCAGTCGGTTAACCGAATTTATTGATTTTTTAAATAAAATTGTAATTAAATTAATTTGAATATAATAGAAATATTTTTAATTTGGGTTAAAATTTAATTAGGTATTAATAATTTAAAGTGTCTAGAGTGGTTAAAAAATAATTGTTTCTAAATTCTTAATGAGTTTTAGCTTAAAATAAGTATTTAATATATATAATATATTCAATATTTAATAATTTCGGTAAATTCGGTTAATCAAAGATTTTGATCCAAATTAAGCTTTAATCGAATATTAATAAAAATATTAACCATTCCCCGACCAAAATAATTCAGTGATAGACCGAATTAACCGAATTAATTCAGTTCGATGGTTAATTCAGTTAAAACGAAAAAATGAACACCCTTGCAAGTTCTTGCTACGATACTTTAATTAAATGACTCGTTTAATTTTTTTTAAATAACTTATTTTACCGAACACATAATTGTACCTATAAAATATTTTATTATAATGTTTAGCTTTTAGATTGTATTTTTTTATTTAATTTATTTAATGTTTATTCTTATTAAATTATATTGTATTTAGATTATGATTTGTATGATGGAGGTTGTGTTTATTTTTATTTGAATTTAAATTTGAATAGTTATTTGAGTGTATTGAGTTTGGCTTTTTGGATTTCGTTTAGCCGAAATAAATCGAAAAGCATTTAAATTACGGTACTTATTTCATTTGGCGCGAAAATAGCAGGAGATATGGCGGGTTATTATAATCGTCAAAGGATAGAAGTTTTTTTTTTTTTGAGAAAATAACTTTAGTGATCAAAAATCTTAGATAATATACGATTTTGATTTTTTTTTTTTGGATTTACGAAAATGACTAACAAAATCGCAATGCGATCTCTAATTCGCATTGCGATATCCAATATCGCAAATTCGCGTTGCATTTCGCGTTGCGATTTTTCATTTCGCGTTGCGATAGTTGAAAATCGCGTTGCGATAGTCTACAGTTGTTGTTACGATAGTCTACAGTTGTCGTTGCGATTTTTCAAATTCGTTGCGAAATGAAAAATCGCAACGCGAAATGGAAAATCACTACGTGATTTTCAACTAACGCGATTTTCAACTATCGCAACGTGAAATGAAAAATCGCAACGCGAATTGAAAAATCGCAACGCGAAATGAAAAATCAAAACGCGAAATGCAACGCGAATTTGCGATAGTCGAGATCGCAATATGAATTAAAGATCGCATTGCGATTTTGTTGGTCATTTTCGTAAATCCAAAAAAAATTAATCAAAATCGTATATTATCTAAGATTTTTAGTCACTGAAGTTATTTTCTCAAAAAAAAATTTATTCTTATTTCTTTATATACCCATAAAGAAGAACAACAAAGTTCCCTCCAATTAAAAATCCTAAACCATCCTTAATTACGTTCCTTTGCGCTTCCAATTCTTTACAGTACGTCTCATCAATGACAGAAAATGAAGCCGTCGATCCGATCCGACCCGAATTTCCTACCGGAAGGGTAAAAAAAATCATGAAACTTGACAAAGACATCAAGGTAAACCCGGAGGCCTCATTCCTCATTTCCTGTTCCACCAATCTTTTCCTCCAATTCCTCGCCGAAAGATCAGCAGAAGTCGCCGCCGAGAAGAAGAAAAAGACGGTAAAGATTGATCACCTCAGAACTGCCGTCAAAAGACATAGACCAACGATCGATTTCCTTCTCGACTCACTTCCAGTTCCAGCCGAATCTATCCAGTCCGTTGCTAACTCATTGAGTGATCGAGATCTTTCCCGGCCCGTTGCTGATAAACCCGCCCCGCCCTGGCTGGAACTCGCCGCATAGACCACTTCTTTCGCAAGCCAGAAAATGAAGCTCCGATTCAGATAAACGATACGTAGAATTTCCTTTTATATTTAGAAAAATCTATATTAAATGATAGTTTGCTTTTGACAAATTTGATTGTACTCGGATTTGATCGGGTTTTAAATTATTGAGTTTCTTATTTAGGAAAGGAAAATTGAAAACTCTAGCTATTTGATTATCACGCTACGAAATAGAAAGAAAACGAAATAACTTTCATTTTTTTAAATTGCAATGACAATTGTTAACCCAAGAGTTCGAAACAAAGGACTCCATATAACTACATAGCAACTTCTTCTGACAAACTGAATTTATTTTCTGCAAACATATCATTTTCTTCTTCTAATCTTCAATGAGATTTTCCAGTTACTAGTGCATTATATCAGAATGGTTATGTTTTTCATAATTTCAAGGTGACAAGGGCCCGGAAAATGTCGATACCACTGAAGCTGTTTCATCTCTTAGTGGAGAGTTCAAATTGGGTCGAGGGTATATCCTTTTCCCTTGCTCTTTCTTTCCTTCTTTTATGAAGGACGTATCGCGGCTCACTGAGCTTTTGCTGTTTGATCCTAGCTGATGGATACCCAAGGAAAGCCTCCTGTTTAAAGGGGTTGCATTGCCAAAACCTCCATTTAAGCTCTTGTTTGAAAGGCGCCTATTACTGGTTGTTGGTCTAGATGTAATGAAGTTTTCTTGCTCAACGACTACCTGGCTTTGAACCTTCTTCATCTGCTCAGACATATTCCAGCATATGAGAGAGGTCTGGTTAAACAGGTCATTATGAATGTTGAATTTTACTTTTTTGTTGAACGTGGAATTATACTGACCCGTTGCCTTTGCTTTACTTCTTCTCTTTCTTGCCGAGACAGGTTATACTCTTCCAACATTGCCAGAAGAGGTACCTAGATGTACATAGATGTCATTCCCTAACAGCAGTTTGATTGATAAAACATGCTTGAGATATAATATGAAAAAAAAACATATTTCCAATTTAGTACATGTAGAGTTTTTAAAGCCAGCGATCCAAGTAATCAGTTCAAGATCTGAGTGTTGCACTTGCATGTCTTGATGCATTCCATAATGATATTCCATTTTAACATTAATTTTGTTTGTTAACTTATGATCTATTTGGTAATTTTCCTTTGGTGGGTATCTGATTAATGTTATGTAATCATGACCTATATGGCAAAAGCACGTGGAAGTTCAGGAATAAGTAATCAGGAGTAATGTTAAATCTGAAACCCAGAACATAAAATTGAATCACATATTCTGCGATTAGTTGTTAATTTTTTCCCTGTTGTGCTGGATTTAGATTGATGTTTTCCCGTTTTATTATATGCACATTATTGTTAAAACTATAACAGGCAACTATGTTTTGTCAATATGTAATCAGAGGAATATATGATTTTACCCCATCATACAAGAAAACGTTCCTTCTTTCTTCTTCCCAACTCTTGGTTTTTGTTACGAGTGAATCCACCAGTGCTGCATGAAACCATTTTTTGAGAATTTATATCTCCAAAAATATATACATACATTCATGCACACAATAAGATATTAAGTTCATGTGTGACGCTTGAGAAACATGCTTCAAGGTAGAATGCTGAAACATTCACACAATCTAATTGATCATGCAACTTTTGTAACTGTCTTGTTCAGGCTAGTTAATGAAATCAGTGTAACATTTGTATATGCTTATGTAACTTTTGAAAAATTTTCTGGTTTGAGTCAATTCCATGAGGGAATCGTCTCTAATAAGACAGTTTTTTTTTATACCTGGGATTTTGTTGACTATTACCCTAGCCTTTTCTGCACGTCTCAAATTCCTATGAGCTCCCCTGCTGACCGAATATCTATTCTCATCCTGAAAATAGTTATGAAATAGGAAACATGAAAAAAATTCAGCTAGAGAGATAACCAACTAGTCGTGCAGAAAATTGTTGTAAGATCATTAACCATGCTATATTCTTCCAGCCAGTGTTCCTCATCACGAGCTAGTATCCACTTCTCCACCTTCTCCATTATGGATTTTCTGCTAGAGGCCTCTTCCTTTGCTCTTGATATCTGTTCATCTATGCTCATGAGGAGCTCGACATGGTCAATCTCCCCTTTTGTACATTAGATGGTTACGCCCTGGCTGCTTTAGATATAAACAGGAAGAAAATACAAATTGATAATAGATGTTTTTTTGTTCAATCACACCTGTGTTTATCAGGTTTAGTATATTTTCCGTCTCTGATCTTGCAGGAATCTCCATGTGTGATTTATTGCAAATATCTTCAAGCTCATTCTGTTTCTTGAGAAATAGCTCTTTCATTTTGCTTGCTTTTAGTTGATCCAATCTCTTGACTTCGGCTTCAGCCTTGAAACATTTAAAAGAAACTTTTATGTTTATAGTTGCTTTGATAGATCAGGGTGATGACGATCTAATAAACGAACCTGTTGGATTATATCCAGTGTAAGGCTTCCAGGATCAGATACTTCTTCTGATGAGACTGATATTAGACCAATAACATGGGAAAACAAGTAGCGATCTCCGTAGGAAGTATCTATTAGGCTCCACAAGTTTTTCAGTGCTTTACCCAATTGGTGAAGCTGCAAAGTTGACGAAAATTCAGCTAAAGATTGTCATGAAAAAATTTACCATGTGTCAGAGTGAAGAATCTTCTTATGTCGTTCATGGCCAAAGTTGAGAACTCAAAAATTGAATGTCTTCTCTTTTCACCTTTTACTATGATTTAACAATTAAGAACTAAATGCTTTTTTGCTACAGGCCAACAGCAAAGGGCCAGCTCCCCTTAAAAGATCTGTTCAGAAGAATAATGGCACAGCATTTTACCTTCTCAAGTCGCTTTTGTTTTTCTTCGTGCAGAGACTCCACTGTGTTATTGAGTTTGGCCAAAATACTATCACTTATGTTTTTTGAAATCCCACACAACTCATTCAAGCTCGGGTGAACTTTTGTAATAATCATGGAAGATTCCATCCCCAATGTTGCAGACAAATTGTGAACAGCAGCTATATATTTTTCAACTTGCTGGAGTCTGTTGTTCTTCAGAAGAAAGATACAGGAGAGAAAAGTATATGATGTTTAATTAGGATAATTCGTCTATAAAACTTCCTTGATAGAAAATTTGAGATTATGTACCTTCTCATTGTGGAGTCTTTGTAGCTCATTTTGATATTCCTCGAGTTTCTTCAAAGAAAGATCATTCTCATTCACTATAACATTTGTTATCGAGTCATCATACTCCGACCGACCAGCAATTTCGGCCGAGATTTTCTGGATTTGCCCTTGTACAGCTTGGAACTGGTTTACTCTCTCTTCTTTCCTCAACCGCATATCCCCCAATGCTGGAGTAATGGAATCAAGTTGTTGCTTTATTGTTCCTGACATTTTCTCTGGCTGCAGTGACAATAAGTACTAGGAGGTCATAAAACCGAGCAATCAACATTTACATTTACTTTCATTGTGTTGCTTCTTGACTGGATCAAGCCCCTTGTTTTTATCCGATTCGACCAATGATAGGTAAAGTTGTTGTCAATTGTTTCGTTTATGAAATTTTCTTTTCTAATAAAATCTAGATTGATTGGTAAGGTACCCGTCCGGGAAGGGATCGTTCACCAAGGGACAAAAGAAGGTGGGTGAATTCAGCTTCAGATTCAGCCAGTTCCTGATGCAGGCGAGCTCTTGACATATTTGCACGGTCAACTTTTCTCCGGTAGACCTCTAGACATTCTTGTTCTAATTCTAGTAAAACCTTCTCTCTTTCCAACTGATCTTCTCCAACTTCATTCCATATCATCTATTGCATCACACAACACAAAGTATGATCTGATTACAACCACAGCTTATGTAAAAATATCAAAACATGGAAAAAAATGAAAAATCTCTTGCCTGCAACTCTTGAAGTAAATACCCGCATGAAGTTTCTAACAATGCAGAGCTTCTCGTTCCAGGAGGTGCTTGGAGCGATCCCATCCTATCTTTCGGTTCCGGCTTCTGCTCAGAGACTTGAAACCACTAGAAACCGGCGCTTTGGTTTGGACACTCAAACTAAAACAAAGTGGAACCTGTTGGTTTGAGAAAGAATAACCAGGGGGGTGGTGAGCTTTTTGCTTAAAACACAAGGCTGACAGAGTTAGGTGCTAGTGAAGCTTTGGGTTCAAGAGTCATCCATTTTCATGGATTTTCCAGGTTCGACCTTTCCACCTCCTCATTATTTTTGAATTTAAATATGAAAAGAATAGACAAAATGACTCTCTCCATCTTGTTTACTTTAGGTATGTATTATTAATCAGGCATTACATTGCATGCATCATATTCACATTCATTTTAGGTATATTTTTTCAGATTAGATTTAACAGTAACTTGATCCCTAAGGAATACGTGTACTGACGGAACAGGGCTACAGTCCATTATTAAAATGTCTGAATCATTAGAAAAGAATGCTACCGATACATTGGCTAGGCGATTCTGAACCATCTGATCCAGTGGTTCAATCTATGGTTCAATCTTGAGTTACTGATATTTCCTCTAGAATGGTTAAGCTTACCTAATTTTGAAGGGTCAAAGACAATACTCCAAAAATGCAATAATTTTGAGATTCCTTCCATAACTAATGATTAGGGACAAAACAAATATAATATTGATTGAGGATTTGGGAATAGTTAGATTATCATTTTCATCCCAACACATTCCACCACCCTCACCTTTCTAGCAAAGATTGAATAGGAAATTAAGGTGTCTCTTCCTTATCATTAGCCTATACGGTTAAACTATCATTATCTGCTCTATTGATTAATTGATTCGGATCAAATACTATAGACTTATCACGGAGATGATTTTGTCAGTGTACTTTATTCAATTACAACATTAGGATTCGAACTTCTAATTTTATTTAAAAATTTTAATACCTTATCCTAGACCATTTGATTATTAACATTTTAGCTTAGTTTTCTCCCATAATGAGATTTTCAACCATAGTCCTTTTCATATCATCGCTAATAAATCCAGTTGTTGGTTCTTACCAAATTTTGAATTTATTGGAATAATGCATGCATTTTATTTATTTTAAATGAAGTATTAAATAAATATCAATAAATTAATGGTTTTGAAAAAAATAATCGTATTAATTTTGGAAGGAACCTAACAACGC